GTAATGAGGGTGAAAGAGGAGAGTGCAAAAAACGGTCTGAAACTCAACATCAAAAAAACTAAGATAATGGCCACTGGTCCCATCACCTTCTGGGAAATAGAAGGGGAAGATATGGAGGCAGTGACAGATTTTACTTTCTTGGGCTCCATGATCACTGCAGATGGAGACAGCAGCCCCGAAATTAAAAGACGCCTGCTTCTTGGGAGGAAAGCAATGACAAACCTTGACAGCATCTTAAAAAGCAGAGACATCACCTTGCCAACAAAAGTCCGAATAGTCAAAGCTATGGTTTTTCCTGTCGTGATGTATGGAAGTGAGAGCTGGACCATAAAGAAAGCAGACCGCCGAAGAATTGATGCCTTTGAATTGTGGTGCTGGAGGAGGCTCTTGAGAATCCCCTGGACTGCAAAGAGAACAAACTTATCAATTCTAAAGGAAATCAACCCCGAGTGCTCCCTGGAAGGACAGATCCTGAAGCTGAGGCTCCAGTACTTTGGCCACCTCATGATAAGAGAAGACTCCTTGGAAAAGACTTTGATGTTGGGAAAGTGTGAAGGCAAGAGGAGAAGGGGACGACCGAGGATGGGATGGTTGGACAGTGTCATCGAAGCGACCAACATGAATTTGACACAACTCCGGGAGGCGGTGGAAGATAGGAGGGCCTGGCGTGCTCTGGTCCATGGGGTCACGAAGAGTTGGACACGACTAAACAGCAGCAACAACAACGATTTCAAAGATGTATGGAATTTTTATTTGGAGCATGTATTTTTTGAAGGGGAAAGGCTATATGCCAGCACGTGGGAACACGTGTCGTCTGGAGGACTGAGAGGGGGGCGATGAGCATTCCGGCGGTGGTCCGTAGGGGGCGCCCGCGCCTCGGGAAGGGGGGGGAACTGGGGAATTTCTTCGGAGTCATGTGACCGCCCGGCACCACAGTCACGTGAGGGGCCATGGCTTCGCCCGGCGGGCATCGGGTTCCGCGGCTGCTCCTGGGCTTCCTG